GAAACAAAACTAAATGACCATTGTAAAATAATGGGCGCACGCGGAAGAAAAACTAGCTGGAAAACAAATAAATATTACGGACGGACATTACTTAGTTATGTATAAAAACCTTTGCTTGTAGTCCATATATAACAAGTAACCAAAATATCAAAACGTAAAACCCTATTTTTTCTCAAGGCGGACAATAACATCACTAATACAACTGTGACATGCCTTGTGTCGCCATCAAACGCGATGTTACGACAGTTCTCATACGGATTGCCGGAGAGCTACCACTTCTTCATGAAGGAATATTATGTAACATTGACATTCAATTATAATCAAAGAGGCATTACGAAACTGGAAAAGTACTTGCCAAAGCATGGCTGGGTCTCAAAGGAGAAACACATGCAAAACAAGGGACTTGAAAATCATAGTTGGAGCAACACAATGACACCAGTCAGGGGCGGACTGGCCATTGGGAATACCGGGAGTTTTCCCGGTGGGCCGGTGCTGTGCGTGGGCCGGAGGGTCAACAGTTTTTTTTATTTTATTTGCGTAAAGCCTTCCGGCCCACATTTGTAAGTGTTCCGGCCATTCCTTTTTTGTTTTTTTTTGCTTACCTAAATCCTACCGGCCCACATTTGTAAGTGTTCCGGCCACTCCCTGGAGGGGAAAATATCTTCCCGGGGGAGCATGCCCCCGGACCCCCCTAGAGCAGGTGAGGTCCACCACCTGCCCAGACCCCCTATTAATTTGTCTCACCCACATTGAGGATGCTTCCTACACCCATGTTTTATTCCATGCGTCAAGTCAGGCAAATTGGGTCCAAATGTTATTGCATCAATGATCTGTTAACATTAGAATCACTAAATATATGCTGTAACTATTTTGCTCTAGGCAACTCAAGGGCTCAGGTAATGTGATTACTATATGAATAATGGTCCAAAATAACATAAAATGCATAGGGTTTTTTGTTAAGTAACATACTTTCGTCGCCGGCCGGCCGATACATGCCGTGCATTAAGTGGGCCTGTCTGTCAATTAATCCCCGGGCCACTTTTTCCCCCCAGTCCGCCCCTGCTCCGCTATGACATGTCTCCATGCTTTAATGTTCAAAAAGCTCTTAATTGTTCTCGTACTGCTTGGGGTTGTGTAGGAGAGAAACTCCCTCTGGTGGGAACTTTGGGATGTTAGCCTTTGCAGACCATTTACATGCACACAATCCTATAGAACACACTACAAGAAAAGGAAAACTCTAAAAAGCAATAAAAGGGACTCTTTAAAGTGCTGTTAAAGGGTAATACAAAACCCTTCTACTGCCAATTCTTCCTCCATTGTGCCAGTTGTAATGTGTTAGCATGGAAACCAAGCAAACAGTTCAGAGTTCAGGATTGTGTCACAGTTAACTAGAGGGAAGTAGAAAGCAAATGTCTGTTGAATGTCATGACTCATAGGTACGCCCAGAATGCCAAGTGACACTTCTGATGTTTTCCCTCATTAGTGTTGATCAAAACTAACCAGGGAAACGTTTCATTTTCTCCCTAACTTCCTTCCATTAAGCTCTGAGGAGACTTCCATCTGGTGAACAGAAGGCACAATGTCAAAGGGCTCATAGTTCATCTGCCCTTTGACCCTGGCCTCCAACCCAACATATAGTGGGGCCCTTTCACAAGACCCAATTTCTCTGCTGCCCCACTCCAACCAACCTGTAGCATGTGAGCAACACACTGTGAAGAGTCCTGCACTTGCTTACCAAGTGTTTGTGTGTTTGGTGAGGCCTTTGTACCCTTCAGAGCAGATAAAAGGTACGAGCGGTCATTCAATAGTTTCACACAGACGAGGAAGTCCCCGGCTGACTGCTACAAATGTCGGACATGCCGTTACTGCTCCACAATTCCTAGAAACCAGAAATATGAGGAATACATCATGAGTTTGTCTTGGTAAGGTTTGTTTTGATCAGTTATAGGCTTGTTCTCTTGCTGTTGTGAACTGCAAGAGGAAGTCATGATGAGATTGTTACACTGACACATTTTAAAGAGGTTGTCCCTTTTAATTGTGTGGCGTGTAGCTCAGAATTGTATTCAAATGTATCTTTTAATCACTGCAAACATTGCTATACTATAGCTAATTCTCCTCAGTTTTTAGTTTTCATATTTCTGAGGCTTCGAAGCTTGTGTTTGACTACTGGTGAATTATTAGCAGAGGCCTCACTATGCTCAGGTCCACGGTAACACAGCCTGTTAGTGTGCTTGATCATTTGTGACCAAATAACCGGAAACTCCTACCAAATTCTCTCTGTAAGATGTTACTTTTGAATCGCTTTACGTCAGAGCTGAATAGAAGTGAAGCAGCTCTGTTGCAGGCCGGTCTTTATTGGCCTCCATTTCACTCCCTCCTCCACACCACCCACATTTGGCTGTAACCCTAGCCTTTCTGGGAGCACCCTCGCTGACGTCACGGTGCTCCGGCACAGGCCCAGGCCTTTTCCGAGATCAGGTGTCTGAGCCTTTGTGTGTCTGTCACTGGTCGGGAGCCGCAGCCTCTTGTCTCTGCACACTGATCCTTCATTGGGTCACTCCGTCAGTAATTCCAGTGACAAACTGATAAGAGTGATACAGATTGACCTGCTGAGAAACACATTGGTTGAGCTGTTCGTCCCCCACAATGCACTTCAAATGCAGACTTTGACTTTAAAGGTCCCATGTCATGGCCATTTCCACTGATCATAATTCCATTGTTGAAGTCTACTAGAATAGATTTATATTGTGCAATTTTCCAAAATCACTTTGGTTTCTCAGACAGCATCTCTGTAAACTATGTGTATTCACTGAATTTCACTATCTGCCTTTAACGGCTCGTTGTAGCCCCAGTAGCTCCAGCCCCCACCCTCCCTGTGAGCACAGTGTGCTCTGATTGGTCGGGATGTTGTGAATTGCGCTGAGCTCCGTGGAGGTGTGGTTTCCTTATTTAGCGACAGCGAAACACAGCCAAACTCACCCTGAGCACACCCAAAGTCACAGACGAAGTAAAAACAATAAGTGTGGCTTGATATTGAGTAAGAAAAAGTTTGATAAACGCTGTGAGAATGGGTCTGCAGAGAGAATTTCGCCGCGATCCCAACTGTCTGTTATCAGCCTGCAGCCAGGGAGGAGAGATCAGCAGAGCTGCCTGCACTGAGTGTGTGTGTGTGAGGAAGTCCGTGGATTGGTCAATTTGGACCAATCAGCGGGGGCTTAACGTAACGGCTCCGCGGACGTAACGTAACGGCTCCACGGATTGGTCCATTTGGTTCTGGGTAACGCATGACATCATGTGGTACCCGGAAGAATCAATGGACAGTGACGTATCTCCAACGAGGCGTTTTGGGGAGGTATTTTCTGTGTTAGAGTTTTACTCGCTACAGGGTGTATTTTGAGGGTTTTGACTCTGCACACCGTTTACATGCATAAAAACCTTCATAACACACAAGGGGACGGGTAATAAACGGAAAAGCATGACATGGGACCTTTAAAACTCTTCCTTTACAGTAAGTGTTTTATATCCCTTTTAGTAAAGTCATTAATTGTTCCATACATATAAATATCACCCTGCTAGTAACTGAGGTTTACATTTTAAGAGGGTTTTACATTAATTTACTTAAACTCCTGTTGTTTATAATCACATTGTGACTCATATTAAACACAAGCTATCTAATTGGTCAAGCTGTTTTATAGTTTTTTCACTAATGGTGTCATTTATTCTGTGTCTGAGCAATTCTTTAATCAGATCAGACATTTAAGATTTGACACATCTTGAGAGGGGAAATAGTTATCTGCAGACTATTCATGTGTAAAGTAATGCATTGGCCAATGATCACAAAGCTTAGTACATTAGTGCAAAGTTTTAAAATAAGATTCAGTCATTTTAGCACCACCTAAAATAGTGGATTAGATTTGTTGTGGATTGTGCCTGTGGCCAAAACAGCTTGAAAATGGTCCGAGTTGTCGGTTTAGTTGGTTAAGGTCAAGTGAGGGTAAAGCAATGCAATCAGTTCTACTTGCTTTTGTTTGGAGGTCAAACATGCTTTGAACAAGTTATCTGGATGTCTTTTTTTCTCCCGGACACAGATTCAGATTTCAGGCAAACTGTGATTCTTCTTTACAGGTTTGACTGAAGTTCAAACTTAGGATTGCCTGTAAACATATCTTACTTCCAGCCTTTAAAGTGAACTTGTTATTAAAAGTTAATTGGGCAAGGACTATTTTTCCAGTTAGTCTGCCACTAGACTTATAACTTAATTTCCAGTAAATGTGACTAAAACTAAAACATTATTTTATCAAACTTTTTTCCCACTTATATTTTGACATACTAATTTTCAGAATGTTGTTCTTGCGTATGCTCCATTTCAATGAAATGTATACTAATACTGACATTTCAAAATACCAATAGAGACAATAATACAGCATCACATCAAGTAAGTATCATGTGGTTCTTAAACAACCTACACTTTGTATAAGAAGCCAGAATGTGTTACTCAAGGAAAGGCAAGACATTCACGTCAAGATAGTTCCATTCAAAAATAATGATGTTGTATCCGTGATTTGTGTCTTTAAAGAAGAGACGTAGATTCTGATAAATGCTTGAAACAAACATGCCTTGCTTGTGAACTTATTGATAAGGAGATGTTGTTGGCGCTGCACAGTGATAACAGTCCCTTGTCCCTTCCCTGCAGGCTGCTGGAGACAGATAGCAAGTCTCTGCGCTCCATGAACGGCTCCAGGAGGAACAGCGGCTCCTCGCTGGTGTCCAGCTCCTCCGCCTCCTCCAACCTCTCCCACCTGGAGGAGGACACGTGGATCATGTGGGGACGAATCGTCAACGAGTGGGAGGAGGTGCGCAAGAAGAAGGAGAAGATGCTTAAGGTGAGAGCGGTGTGAGGCGACCGCAGAGTCTGTGCAGCCCTGCTTATAGCATTAAGAGCTTAAAGCTGTTCCAGCCATCTGCGGAAAACAGGGATAAGGCAGTCATAAATGACAGTACTATAAATGATAGTAAGAAAAACGAATGCATTTGACTGAAATAAACATAGTCCAGGTCTAAAAGAAATAGAGAAAAGATTCCCTGAGGCTGTTTCTGGAATAACATTGCTCTGAACTTTATAAGTCTTGTGATACATATGTATTACAACCTTCTTTTTAAGTGCTGGCCAGAAAGCTACACTGGTCATATCTGTTTGAATGTTTACTTGGTCCAGAAATACATTTGAAGGCTATCTTTGTTCTAGGTGACACTGCAGTGTTTTTTTAGTACTTGACATTTGAAGCTGATTTTAGCTTGCTTGTTTCTACAGTTACTCTCCGAGGACTTGTGATAGTCCTGTGCTGTCACAAGTGACTGTCAATGGACAATTGGAAGAAAGAAAATCCTAATGGCAGTGACAGTTGATTTGCATTTGCTTGGTGCTGCTGTAGAAGTTTGAAGGTTGAATTGATTGTGATGCCCAGGTCATCAAGGTCAAGTCAAACCTCTCCCGATTATTCTTGCTCTCTAACGGGGAGAATTATTGTTCGGATTTGAAATTCTGTCGCAGAAGATCCACAGTCTAGATGTTGACACAATTAACTGCGTGTTTGACACCCAATTAAAACACCTTTCTCATATGCAGTCACACTGTCTGTAATGCGTTCACATGCGTTTTGCTAGTGCGGAGACGGAGACCTGTTGATGAAGAAACACATGCAAATGGAGGGGAACATTTTCTGCATGGAAACTGTTTGTTTTTTCTTTTGACCCACTCTCTGTGTGTAAAAAGGGAACTATTGCATAGCACCCGAGAACATGCATGATTGCGATTATGTAATTTAACAGAAGTAGTAAATCAGCAGATGGGTGCAGCTGGTGAGGGATGTTAATCATAACTGCTGAGGCCTCCACAAAATGATGTGTTCTTCCCCTTGGCTCACAGAGACCCAGTGTGTGTTGCGCAAAAGATGGAACGTTGACTTTCTGTCCTTGTTAGCAAAACCTCTGATGTGTTTATGTTTTTTTATTCTTTATATTTCATGGATGGCTTACTGAAGAAGATAATTATATTACGTTTGTTGGATATCTGATTTATATCTACTCCAAATAAGTTAGAAAAAAGACAGAACACACCAATTTGATATGTTGAAGCTAGGATTGGTTCGTGATTTTTTTAAAATTTCCAATAATCATTCAAATACAGAATGCAGGAATTTATGCGAGCTATCATATGGTCTTAAAAAGATTAATTTCTATTGTTTTCATCGCAGGTGCCTCCTTGTTGTAAGGTTACCACCAGGCGATATTCTAAGAATGATATAATAGTTCCCCAGTGTTATATGTTATGGTATTTTGGCTTGAAATGCACCATCTCTAGTTGGTGCCTGGCACAGAGCGTTGATGGGGAAACAAAAGGCTGCTTACTGTAGTGCTGTGCTCAGAAAGCAGCTTTGCTTCAGACACAGTGAAGACATGAGGCGGGGCATTGTTTCAGCACAGAGCTCCATTTAGTCTGACCTCTAAGGGGGGGGGGGGAAATCCCTGCTGGAAGCCTGCGTGGGTGGACCTCTGCTCCAGATGCACCCTGGGCTGAGCAGATGTGCACACAAACACACACACACACACACACACACACACACACACACACACACACACACACACACACAGTGTTCTCTGTCGGCACAGGAAATTGCTTAATCAAATTGTATCAGCAGTAATACATGGAAACAAATCACACTACAAAGTACCTCGCTGACAAGAGTATATTTGTCAGTGGATATCGTATTATTGTGAGATGCACAATGTGCTGATATGGAAAAGATATATACTGGATAACAAAGCTGTATCGTGTTGTAAGAAATGCTGCCTTTTTTACCCAAAGGAGTGGTTCCTTACCATCTATAGTTCTTTAAACATAAACAGACGGACTTGAAATGGTCATTAAAATCTTTAAAATATAGATATATAAACATTCATATCACAAAGTATCTATTATTATCTTTTTCTACAGGATCTTGTCAGAAAAGGGATTCCTCACCACTTTCGGGCAATAGTGTGGCAGTTGTTGTGCACCGCCCAGAATATGCCCATCAAGGATCAATACTCAGAACTCCTGAAGATGACGTCGCCCTGCGAGAAGCTGATTCGCAGAGACATCGCCCGCACTTACCCCGAACACGATTTCTTCAAAGAGAAAGACAGCTCGGGTCAGGAAGTGCTCTTCAACGTCATGAAGGTATGTCTCCATTTTCTGTTTTTGGAACCTGGTTGTAAAATGATGTAGACAAAAAGGAATTCTAACGACTGGGAGAAGTAAATCCATAATGAAGTGTGTGCAACAGCGACTCATCCAAAGCTAATCTGTTACCTCAGGCATATTCTCTGGTTGACCGTGAAGTTGGCTATTGTCAAGGGAGTGCATTCATTGTAGGACTTCTACTCATGCAGGTAACAATCCAATCTTCACCACACACACAAACAAACACTGATTCATCAGCTTCCAGCAAATACCTTGTCATGTTTTTTTGTGATTAACTGACAGATTTGGAAGTTTGATTTCATCCTGTTATTTTCCTAGATGCCAGAAGAGGAGGCGTTCTGTGTGTTTGTGAAGTTGATGCAAGACTACAGATTACGAGAGCTCTTCAAACCCAGCATGGCGGAGCTGGGTCTCTGCATGTACCAGTTTGAGTCTATGATCCAGGTAGACACCTCATACTCGGTTCTAAAACTGTTTCTAGTGGTTCTATGAATTGTAGTAAATGGCGTGAATCCATATTATCTCTGCCTCTCAGGAACAACTCCCGGAGCTGCATATACATTTCCAGGCTCAGAGCTTCCACACCTCCATGTACGCCTCCTCCTGGTTCCTCACCATCTTCCTCACCTCTTTCCCTCTGCCCGTCGCCACCAGGATCTTTGACATCTTCATGTGTGAGGTCAGTAGAAGGGAAGCTCTCATCTGCTTTGAATGATATATTGAATCCACTTACATGTATTAGTTCAGACATCTTTGCATATCTATGTATTTATATGCTCTTAGAGCTTTGTCTTTTACCCCTAATTTACTGTTTATATTCGTGTTCTTTGATTGAATAATATCCTGCACTTACTGTCTGTCATTCACACAAAATGTCTAGAAAGCATAACGGACATTTGGAAAGGGACATTGCACTAAAGGAAAGTGTTTGCACTTAGAAAGATGTAAGGTTGAAATGTGTTCTACTGGTTTGAGGATGAATTCATTGGTAGATGAGATGAAAGTAGCTGTCATGTAAAGGTTATCCATTACCACCACCTGTTGGAGACAAACAGAACAACACATTCTGTAGTGACTCTTAAGTTGTTTCACCACTCCTATGTAACCTGATCTTACTGATCCTTAATTCTCAGTCAACTTTAGAAATCATTTCTGAGCAACATGTTTTTACTTAAGATGGCTCCTCAGTGAGTACTGTTCTCTCTCTTTAGGGTCTGGAGATAGTTTTCCGTGTGGGACTGGCCATCCTTCAGATGAACCAGACTGAACTCATCCAGCTTGACATGGAGGGAATGTTACAGGTACATCTCCATGACTTCCACATAACACGTCATGCAAGCAGCTCACATTTCTGCTGTTACCTCAAGGGAGGAACCTCCACCACACCCAGATAATTGAAACAATTACTGTGCTAACTACATGCTGTAGTTTGAAGTGAAGCTTTGAGGTTTACGTGTGCTTGCCACTAACACTGCCTCTGTTCCCTCTCTGTGCTGCAGCACTTTCAAAGGGTCATCCCACACCAGCTAGACAGCGGGCCAGATAAGGTCATCACGGCTGCCTATCAGGTTAAATACAACGGCAAGAAGATGAAAAAGTAAGCAGTTCATCAACTCCTAAACCGCCTCTCCTTTTGCCAATGCATTCATTCTGTTGTATCCTACAATGGCCCTAATGTGACAATCATATTAAAATGCGATAGCCAAGTCATAAAACTATACTGTACTATGGCTAAGATTGAGGCTGTCCAATGGTCTCTGAGACGACCCACCTTCTCCACTTCTAGGATCTTGTCCTGCATCTCCATGAGGGCGCACACAGAATAGTATTCGACATACTTATCTCATTTTATTCTCCTTCTTCCGCCAAAAATGTTGTCTTACTACTCGTCCGGCAGCGTTGACACGTAACACACAAAAAACACATCAAAACGTGCGGAATGACCGGGATCGAGTTGCTATGTTTTATATAAGAGATTCGCATAGCCGTTTTCACGCAAATCGCAGAGAACTGCGATCATTTGCCACATAGGAATGAATGGGAAATCCATTTGAACAGAGCTCAAAAACACCCCACTTTGACCCCATACAGATTCCACATACTTTGACGTAGAACAGAAATGACAAGTTTAAACGGTTCTCGAGACTATGGACTCTACAGACTAATCGGATATTTTTTGATACCTAGTACGGTTCTCACGTAGTCGCAGCTTACGTTTTGTGAAAATGTCACACTGTTTCACATTTTATAATGGGTGTGTATAGGAGAGCTCTTTAAGACTTAGGGGTATTCTTTGTTGTAACTTAACTTAGCGGGACGCGCACCCAAGTTTCAGTCACACAGTCAACATTTCTTTGAATGTTCTAGTTTGTATATCATATCTACTGCATCTGAAGGATTTGTATTGCTCTGGCTTCTTTCACTTCACAATTAAACTCACTAAACTATTAAACTAACTTTTTTCTAACTATTTCTAACTTTATACATTTTCAGCTAACAGAATGAATCGTACGGCAGCCATATCATTTTGCAGTGTTACATGTTTTTCTATTTGAGACTCATAAGATTTCAGCCTGCTCTGCTTTATTACTGCCAAAGGGCACACAGGGGGTATAGGGA